GGGCAGTCGGGCTGGCAGCCAGCTTGCCGGCGCGGAGGTCACTGATCTTACCGCAGGCCCCCCCCCGCCCCGTCAGAGTGCAGTTGTCCTTCTGGGTTGTCCACATGTGTCCTCTCCCTGTCATCCCGCGCACACTGGTGCCCACCGCTCTGCAGCAGCCATTGTATGCTGTGGCTGTGCCCTGTCCGGTTGCAGACCACGGGCAGCGCTGTCAGTGCCTGTGCGCGGGCGCGAGCGTGCAGCTGGGGCTTACCTAGTCATCGCGTCGGGAGGCTCTCCTAGCCTGCTTCCCTGGGGCATTTTCTAATTCTGCGTGTAGTTTCCCTTTCCTCTGGAGCATGTAGAAACAAAGGAATACTCACTCTCTATAAGCCTAGTACCCAGAGAGAATGGATTTTTAATATGGCTATTATTTTAAGTCCAATGCCTGCATGTCTTTTTAAAGATGAAATTGTAGGCATCCATTTTTTGAGAAACTTCTCTGAACTCTTAAATTGTTTTAAAATCTCTTCCAATAAACCTAATCATGAGTGACAGTAAGATGGTTATGAAACCTTTTCCTCCTTTGTAATCCAGGTCTGTAGTTTTTTCTCAGTTTCATCGTGTGTAAAAATGTGTAGCATTTTAAGCGGAACATAAATATTTAATGGGATTTATGTTTAATAACTTTGAGTGACTTTGTTTTCTTTCACAGACAAGGTCTTGCTGTGTAGTGTCAGGCTGATAATAAATTTGTGGCAATCTTCCTACCTCAGCCTCCAGAGTGCTGAGATTCCCGGGTGTGTCACCACGTCTACCTTTGAGTGACTTTTTAAAAATTTGGAATATTATAAATGTTCATCTACCTAGCAGGAACATCTGCCTCTTGACAGTATGACATTTTGCTTGTTAAATAGTAAAATAATATAGAACTTGTTAACCATTTGTGCTGTGTAGGTTGCAACCTTCTGAGGGAGATAGGCCTTATTAAATCCTTTTAAATTGAGGAAAATATTTTGTTAGGTAAATAGAACAGTACACTAGGCCTTTATAGATATTAAAACATAATTATTTTTAAAAAATGAGAATAATTGCAAATCAGAGTTCAGCACACACCATGCTCCTTGAGGGAATATATTATCATAGAATATATTATCATCAGATTTAAACTTCACCAGGACAGTAATCTCATTGGCTTTTGCATAGTGTTTTTCAAATTTTTCCCTGTGTCTGACAGACAGTAAATATTTATGAATGAAGAGATTCAGTGTTGCCACTATTCCTTTCGCTTCTCCATTTTAATCTTGGTTTTTAAATCACTTACTCTTCACTTGTGCCCTCAGCAGAGGAAATTGAGGAAAAGGAGGATTTGTATTTATATTTAGTATAGGACCTAAAATAAATTTCTATTTCTAGGGTAGATTTCAATTTGTGTAATTATTAATGTGGATAATACTAAATCTGTTGTGTCTAAATAGTTGATGGTGCAAAAAAATGGTCATCTATATGGGGTAATGGGGTTTATTACATGGTCTTTGTCTAAATGACTTTTATTGTTTCAAAAAAGTCACCATAGGCCATTTGTAGGTTTTAAGTTAGGCAAAATGAACGAAGAAGTATTTACGCTGCTTTACTTTTCGGAGCTACTTATCTTTTTTTTTTTTTCTCATTGAGTTTATTGGTACATTTTAGGTATACAGTACAGTTTCATTATTGGGATCTTGTACCTTTACATGACAGATCTTGGTTCTCATTTTTTCCCCTATCCCTGCCCTCCCTTCACCCCTCCTCCCCTCCCCCTTTACAAATAGTTCATTTCCATTTTTTTCATTTTCTCATATTTTTTTATTTTCCCTTATTAGCTTTCCCCTACCCTTCCCACTTCCCCTACACCTTTAGCCCCTTTCTTCCTATTTCGAATTGTCCAATCTTTAGGTATTTCAGCCATGTCTTTTAATGAATTCATTTTTAACATTTCAAATCAGAGATCATTTGATATTTAAATTTGGAAGAAGTTGCTTTTAGTGGAAATATAACTAAGTGCTGCTGTTGACTTTGTCATTGCTAATACTGTCATAACAAGCCAAGGAATCTGTAATATAATGTAGAACTAGATAAGTGATTAACCTTCAGAAATAGCCCTGAAAGTAAAGCATATGTGTTCATATTTGAATTTCTCAAAATATGAGCAGAGTAACTTCAGAGTAGCTAGATGAGTAGATAGATGAGGCATATGTGTTTTCCTTGTAAATGGAAAGCCTTTTTGAAATGTACCTCCTATTTTGTGATTCTTTACCAGTGCTCTGAAAAAATTGAACAGTTTATAAAACCAAAATAAAGAAAAATAAGCCCCATTATTGCAAACCATTCAACTGTATCTTCTTACAATGTAATGCTCTTTCCTTAGACCTGAAACAGTTTAGGCATAGTCTGGGTTTAGGTTCAAAGTCGTATTACAGAACTACACAAACATGTGTATTAAAGGCTTACCAAGTGCAATATTAGTATAGTTTTGAATTTTGGAATTGGGTTGTTTAGGTAGGTTAATCAGGAAAAAAGCTGATATGAATTTTGGCGTATTATGATTGTGTATGTAATGATTCACTTCTTTCCAGTAAACATTATAGATTGTATAGTGAAACATTTGTATGGTATTTTCTCAGCCTATAAGTATGGTTTTATAAAATTTGTTGTGATAAAAAATTTTAAAAATCTACAGATTGTGGTTGAGAGAACATATACCTGTAGGTCATTTAAGGACTTTAAATCTTTCATACTGAATCCTAAAGTATTCATAGGTTGACTTTGGCTCTGTACACAAACTCGTATATTCCCTATATATTTTGTATTATTCAGAATTTTGAAAAATTTAATTGTTAAAGTTTTTCAGACTTCTTTTTCACAGATACTTTTTATCCATAGAAAATTATTAGTCATATTTCTATGGTTAATTTTACTGAAAAGCGGATATATTCTGTTAGTTGTGCATGCAAAGAGAATTAAAACCTATGATCTTTCAATGGATTAACAATACTTTATGGGAAAATTATACATGTTTAATAATTTGCATAGACGTTTTAAAGTAATATTTGTCAAGCTTTTAAGTCAATATGTAAGAGAAGCTTCCCACACAAAGTCATCATTTTCCTGTCTTATGGGCAGAAATGGACTCACAAGATGGATTTGAAGAGATAATGTGATGAGGTTAAACAGGGTGGAAACAAATGATGATTTCATAGTTAAAATACTTTTAGTAACTTAGCTTTTTTTAGGTCAACATGTTACTTTAGAACTTGAATATTATTTTGAATTAGATTAGCACTTCTTTTTTCAGTGTAATCAGGGAATGAGGAACTCATATTTTATGTGTAACTAATGTTTAAGCTTAGAATTCTTCCATCAACTGTAGTGCTTTACTTATTTAATGTGAATACAATCTTCTGTATAGCTGACGCTTATGATTTAAGCACTCAAACTTAAACCACAATAAATATTTAAAACATTTTGAATAAATTAGTTATTATAAAAGGATTATTTCCCTACTGTTTTTTTTTTTTTTGGTACCATGGATCAAAGTCGGGATCTTGCATTAGCAAGGCAGGCGCTGTACCACTGAGCTAAATCCCTGGTCCTCCATACCTTCTTTTGAAAGACTGTGCATAACGTAATATGATCTTATTGTTGACTTTACTCTGGACCTATTTTTGTGAGTATGTGCACTATACAGTGGCTGCCTTCAGACCTTTTGGCTAAATGGTTCTATTACATTTCCTACATAGAGTTGTGTTTTTGTGTTTTTTCCTTTAAAGTTAGCTGTTGTAATTTACAATTTGTCTGTTGCTATCATCTCTTTTCTTATCACTTTCCATCTTGACATGCTGATTCTAATTGTTGTGAATTGGGAAATTTGATAAACTTCCATGCTTAAAAAAAAAAGCCCAGAGGCCTGACTCATGTAAGTAAAATTTAATAATATGAACCTCTTAATATTCTGGTTGCTGAATAATCAGAAACTATGTCTGTTAGAGATAAGTGAACCTTCACTGAATTTTTACTGGCAGTATAATCCTTTACATACTTTAAATGTCTTAACTCATTTTTCACGTTGTTGTTGCCTTGAGTATGCTTCATAAGACTATTCAGACCTTGTCCATAATAATACTTTTGACTACAGTTTTTAAAATCATGGTATATGCAGTCGAACTTTGGCCTGGGACCTTGAGTTAAATCTATGGCTTTGGAGCAAGTTTGGTGTCATTTCTTAGGAATCTTAGGGCCCTACTACTAGTAGGTGTTCAAAATGGAGATTTTTTCAGCTACTGGTCTTCGTAGAATTTTCATCATTTACAAAAGTCACCTCTACCCCCCCTTAAACTGCATTCAAAACAAATCACAGACATTTGGTAAGGGCTATTTGTTTTAACTTCCTTGCCATTTGACAAATGCCAAGAGTTTAGTTGAGACACAGCATTCATGGGGGCATGTTTGGAGCTTATCTGCTCTTCACAGTTACAGATTTATAAAGTATATTCCTGGGTCATACCACATCATAGAGCAGCTGAGTATGTAGACTGCATTGCTCTCCACTCTGCTGCCCTCGTTACTTTTACCCAATTGTGCATTAATGACACTATTGGTGCAAACTGAGGATCATCAATAGAAGCAATCACAGAGTCTTGACATTATTATCAAGAAGCATTGCTTATATCAGAAAGTAGTTTCTTTTTGTGAAGATTTCTATGTGATAGGTCCATGTCATTTTAGTGCTGTATTTCTATGCATTTGATTTGTATATCTACTAGATACATGGATATGTAACCACATAAGTTCTACTTCTACTTGTATAGTTAACTTCTTTATAGTTAACTTCTACTTGTATAGTTCTTAAAAATCTTAGTAAGAAATCTGTGGCTAATCTCTAAGGGGTGTGTAGAACATCATAATGTATTTGGCCTTATCCTTAGCTCTGCTGTGTTCCTACATTTTAATATAGATTTTATTGATTTCCACATGAAGAAAAGTACACATAGCACAAGCATATTACTCCATGTATTTCCCCCCTTTTGGTACTGGGGATCCAAACTCAGGACCTTGCGCTTGCCAGGCTGGTGCAGTGCCACTGAGCTAAATCCCCAGCCCTGCTCCATGTATTTTTTGCTTTTCTCATTTGGTAGCTTTTTATTTCACTTTGTAGTATATTTTTGTTTTGTTTGGTTTGGTTTGGTTTTTTGAGACAGGGTC